GTAAATTGCAACAGAATACCCAGTTTTTTTTTGTGGGGGGGGGGGGGGGGCGGGGGGGGGGGGGGAGGTGAAGGAGAGAGACATACACTGATTTGCTAGCCACAGATCTGCAGACTTGAGTGCAGACCCAAATCCCGTCACTTCTTTACCCCACTGACTCAGCTGATCTGATCATGCGTTCCTTCACAACAGATAGGAGATTTTCATGGTAGGAGGCTCTGTTATTGTTATCCACGAGCGGGCTATGCTCCTTTCCTCAGTTAGTGAGTAGGTGTAGGACACGAGACGCTATATGGAGGTAATCTCTGTTTTGTCTTGGAAGATGTAGGCAGAGTCCTCCACAAATACTTTGTATTGGCCTTAGCAATGGAAAAGGATTACAGAGGTATAGGCAGCAGGGTAGAAGACTGAAATATTAGATGAAGGTAACACATAGAAAGATAGCACACGTTCTAATGTGTTTAGTATTTTTAAAGTGGATAAATCCACAGGCCAGGACGAGATGTAAACCAGGCTTATGAGCGATGAGATTACAGGCTGTGGCAGAAATTGCCAGAATCATTTTTAGTCACAGGTGAGGTGCCAGAGGACTGGAGGACTTACATATATGGGATATCACCAAGAAGTTCACAAGTGACAGGAAAATTGGTAAATCATGAGGAAGATAACTATAGACTGCAGAAGGCTATCAACAAACTGGTCAGATGAACAGAGCAGTGGCAAATAGAATTCAACTTTGAAAAGTAAGAATTAAACACACTTGAGGAGATCTGACAAGACAAGGGATTACACGATAAATCTTCAGCAGGATTATAGAAAGTACTGAAGGTCAGAGGGACCTTGGTGTGCGTATCCATATATCCCCGAAGGTAGCAAGGAAGGCAGATAAGATACTTTCCTTTCTTAGTTGAGGCATAGAATACAAGGGCAAGGTAGGTGTGCTCAGGAAGCATAGAGCAAGTAAAGAGATAGACTGCTACAGGGAATGTGAAGGAGCTTTATTTTGCCCAGAGCTGGAACTCATTTCCTGAAAGGACAGTTGGGTCAGAATCTCTTGTAACATTCAAGTGGTATTTAGATATTCACTTGCAATGCCTCTAGGCAACGGGCCAGGAGTTGAAAATAGGATTAGTACAGTCAGATCTTTGAATGACTGACACTTTCATGATGGGTTCAATGGCCTCATTCTGTGTTGTAAATGTCTAAGAGTCTATTTTGTAAATTCTAATAAGTCTCCTCTGCTGCAGTAGAAAGTCCTATTATCTCACTGTTTTCACAGTTACATATTCTCCATTCTCCCACTGAATATTTTCAATGGTTTTATTTTTACCATATCTTCCTCTGTCTACAGAAACTTTGGCATTCAGAAAAAGTGCCCATGCAATGCGATTCAAAAAGTCCTCAAATTTGTACAGTAATCTCACTTTCAACCCAAGCATTCTATCTACCCACTTCAGTGAATACAATATTCACCATCTGTGACAGGGTTTGTAGATCTAGCATTGGATTAGCAAGTCCCTCAAACCCACAACAGAGTGAAAGAAAGTCACCCTCCATCCCAGAGGGACTGCCGAAGGAAGAGAATCTCATTTTCGCAACTCATAGTAGTAATGCACTTACCTTGAAGAGCAAGGTCCATAACATGGTACGCCCAAAGTTGTCAATAGCAACATCAAACCAAGCTCCAAATTCAGAAACTTGATTTAACTGCCGAGCTGCAAATCCATCAAACCCTGTAACAGTTAATACATATTAAGTGAATAGAGTGTACATGTCAGAAAGGAAGAAAATTACAAATGCAGTTTAATGATTGCGATGTTAGATGGCTGACCTTGTACATATTTTTATTCACTCATGGGACATGGGTGATGCTAGCCAGGCTAGCATTTATCGCCCACCTCTAGTTGCCCTCAAAGGTGGTGGTGAGCTGCCTTCTTGAACCCTGCAGTCCACATGCTGCACGTAGACCCACAAGGCCTTCACGGAGGGAATTTCAGTATTTTGAATCAGCAACATTGGTAGGATGGCTGCTATCCCTGTCCTTCTAGATGGAAGTGGTTGTGGATTTGGAAGATACTATCAAGGATCTTTGCTTAATGTCTACAGTACACCTTGTAGATAGTATGTATTGCTGCTATTGAGAATCAGTGATGAAGGAAGGAGTGGATGTGGTACGAATCACATAAGATGCTTTGTCCTGGATGGTGTCAAGCTTCTTGAGCGTGTGTTGGAACAGCACCCACCCAGGCAAGTGGGGAGTATTCCATCACGTTCCTGACTTGTGCTTTGTAGATGGACAGGCTTTGGGGAGTCAGGTGGTGAGTTACTCGCTGCAGTATTACTACTTCTGATCTGTTCTTGTAGCTACTGTCTTTACGTGGTGAGTCTGGTCGAGTTTCTGGTCAATGGGAACCTAAGGATGTCAATAATGGGGGATTCTGTGATGGTTACACCATGGAACGTTAAGGGGCTGTGGTTAAATTGTCTCTTGTTGGAGATAGCCATTGCCTGGCTTGTGTGGCATGGATGTTGCTTGCTACTTGTTAGCCCAAGCCTAGATATTGTCCAGGTCTTGTTGCATTTCAACATAAGCTGCTTCAGAATCTGAGGAGTCACGAATGGTGCTGAACATTGTGCAATCATCAGCAATTCTCTCTATTTATGACATTTATGGTGGAGGTTTTAAATGTAATGTTAGTAATGGTCTGCTAATACTCTGTTTACGCTAAGTTTAACTATTATAGGCTTATTGTATTATACAGCAACGAGCATAAACAATTTATATTTAAAGAATTTTTTTTTTAAAACTATTGGTACATAAACTTCCTTGGTTTTCTTTAAAATTCAACTGGTAAAAGCTGCACAATGCACATTTACAATTTGTTCACATATATTCAACAACAAAATAGTTTCTGCCAATAATTGGCTTGTTAATCAATTATTCATGAAGTTAAAATATACTGTCTGGCACAAACAGGTGAAACTGAAGTTCATTGTGACCACGGAGAGAACTTCTGGGTGTTCCACCTAATGAAAGCTTTCAACTCAATACTTTTAAAAACCTTAACTTTAGCATATCCATAGTGAGGGAGCTACAAGAATAATGTTACTCACTGTCCTTTATGCTAAGCCACTCTAGCTCAGAACAAATTGTATTCCCCACAGATTCAAAAAGGTCATATCTTTAAGAGAAAGCATCTCACTGACAGAAAAGGTTAAGTTTTCAGAAATCAGTGAACCGCCACTAGAGCCGTTACCTTTCCTTTGATGATAATTCCAAGTTGTTTGCACTGCAAGTTGGCAGCTTCTGTAGAGGCTCCTGTGTACCTGTTAACTGAGCCTGAGCCTTTCTTCTAGCTTTTCTGGCTCTGGCTCTTCTTGTAAAACAAAATGCAAGGCTTTTTGCAGATTTCATGAAGGCTCAAGTACATATGCTTTCTAAATGTCTGCATATCATAAATTTATCAGGTTTCTACTCACATTCTGAATTGTTACAGGCCCATATGTTAACTGAACAGAATCTGTGTTGCATCAATATGAGCGTGTGTCTCTATTTTTAGAGGATAGTTTTATTTTTTCCAGCTATTTTGGGAAAAATTCAACTGCAGAGAGTTTTCCATATCAACTGCTAGGTACTTAATACTGTTCTATTTACAAATCAGATAATGAGCACAATGTATTATAGCAATGTGCTACGTTATAAACCGTGTCAATTTGAGTCACCAAGTGGTTCCCAATTTCTGGGACAGTAAATATTCCAAAATGGAGTCTAGGAGAATTTCTAAAAAAACTGGACAAGCTGGACATACTGTGCAGATCAGATCAGGAAGAATTTTGAGGAAAAGAGAACAAGAGACAACATTTCAGGTCAATAGGTTTTAATCAGTTCAAGAAAAACTACAATGATTCTGGATTTATAATTCTAAGTTTAAAAAAAAAACAGAATTGCACAGTGCTTCAAGCATTTGTCCTCAATTCAATGCACTGACTCAAAATAAGTCACTGGGGATCTTTGATGCTTTTTTGGGAAAAAAAAAGCTGATTCATCTTTTATGCAGAATTAAAGTACAAACACAAAACTCAGATAGCATTAGAGAGAAGATTCTCCTCAAATGGAATGATACAGGATATTTGAAATGGACATGCAATAAGAGTACTTCATTGAATAACAACAACATGCTAATGTTTCAGAACTTATTTAATCATATAACTATTTCCTTTTTTAGCATTTTGGATAATTTGTCAGTGAGTCCAATAAATTTATTGGAGCTCTGCTTCAAGGATTTATGAGACAAAGGGTCAAAAGTGCGATCAACCAATAGTGAATGTGCCTCATGAATCAGGTTAGTTGGGGACAAACTCTCAGATGCTAGAATAGGCCTTCACTTAAACCTCCAAGCTTTAAGGGACAGAACAGGAGCCAATAGGAAAAAAAATGCATATCAAAGATGTACAGGCATGTGGCCGGGTGCTGATTTTTCTACAAATTAAAATATTTGAAATTCACACTATAACAGGTAATGAATAGAATTATTGGATACAAAAGGCAAAATACTGCAGATTCTGGGTATTTGAATAAAAACAGAATATGCTGGAAAGGTCATCGATCTGAAACATTAACTTATTCTCCACAGATGCTGCCTGATCTGGTGAGTATTTCCAGCATTTTCTGGATTTTATTTCAGGTTTCTGAACTGATGGATTTTACCTCAGAGCTACCATAGTTCCACAAAACTTCTCAAATTAAAAAGGAATACAAGTACCTTAATGGTAGTTTCTGAAATTAAGCCTGCTTATGTTATTTCTTAAAAAATAACAAGCACAAATATAGGAAGATTCATTTCTCCTAAAACACAGAAGGTAACATTAAATTCTACTGATATGAAACCAACAGATGCCACCACACAATGTACTGTGCAAGAGAAGTAGCAACATCTGTCCGTTGCAACCCTCTAAAACAGGAAACAGTCATAACGATTCAAACATAAATATGTTTCCTTCATTCTCTAGATCAAACATTTCAAAACGCATACCCACCATCAAGAATAATGAAAACCATGTAACAGGGAAAAAACACTAGAGGATAATTGAAAGTCCACCAGCAAACCAGCAGTAGGAGTATCCTTATATAACCTGAAAAGAGCATTGTTTGAATTTAGTTAAAACACAGCATGCCTCAAATTTAGACAAATATATTTTACATGAATAATCATTCAACTTTGTTTTGAAGCAGGATACAGTTTGTCTTCTTCAAACTGGAAGTAACTTTCAAACTTCTTTTTTTAAAAAAGAAGTCTGTCCTTTTGAAGATCTCCAACTCAGTGACAGTACCAGATTGCTTGCATTTTCATTTTAGGCTAGCACAAGTGAGTTGGTGGCGAAACATTCCTTCACATTACTGTAACTTCAACTGAACATATCTACTGCTCTGATCCTTTACCAGACAGACAGTCACTATCACGTTTTTCAGACGATATTGAAAACTTAATACAATAGTACTGGATCTCTACCAAGCTTGAGCAGTAAACTCATGTGCATGGAAACTAGACGGATACTGCCCAACTCATTTGGAATCCTTAATGGGAGACTTTTACCCAATCAATTTAAATTTAAAAGTAGGTCCCAGGAATGACCTAACTTACTACATTCTTTCTTTCCCTATCACAGTTAAGGAATTAACTCCAATTGAGTCAATTTCATCTTTCCGCACACCTTTTCTAGTAAAGTGAGAAAAGCAGATTGAAGATCATGTATGTTACATATTTCTGCAGCCTTGAAAGAAAACTTTACATATTTGGAGACATTGCACATTAAATGAAACAGTTACAGTTCAACAACAAAACATTTTGAAGTGCCACTGTTCTCAGTCTTAATGTACATGTGTTACTGGAACAAAAATGTGACAGAATTAAAATAAAAGTGTAGAAAAAAATAATGATTGTATACACATTAAATTCTACAAGATGTCAGTTGCTAATGGAAATCACAATAGCAAATAACCTTGATGATTGTAAGACCCTAAAAAAAAAAAGACAACACAAGTTTAAAGTTAGCTGAAAAATCATGAAGTAGCTGTTGTGAATAGAAATTTCTCCTTCTGAAGGACAATTGAATTGCACTCTCATTCTCTTTCATATATTACTACAATTAGACATAGTAAGAACTGCCGATGCTCGAGTCAGGGATAACAGTATGGAGCTGGAGGAACACAGCAGGCCAGGCAGCAGCAGAGGAACTGGAAAGCTGACATTTTGGGTCAGGACCCTTCTTCAGAAACCATAACCAGAATTAACCTGTTTTAAAAAGACAGTACACTAACACCAGAACTGAATGAACATGGCATTTGAGTACTTCATGCTTTATGTCTCCAGCTCCACGATGGATTGCTGAATACAGGATTTCCAAAAAACAAAGAATAAAGGCATTTTTTTGAATTATAATTATATAGTATCTTTCACTACCACCAGACATTCTAACACAATTTTCAGCTAAATGAACTTTTGCACTGCAATACTACTTTAATAGAAAAAAACTAGGCACTCAATTTTCACACCGGAAGCCCCTGCAAAAAGTGATAATCTGTTCATGTTGTTGATTTGAGGGATAGATATTAGCCAGGACACTGCAGACAACTCTCTTGCTCTTTGAAACAGTGCCTTGAAGTCTTTTCCATACATATGAAAGGAGTGCAATCCTGGTTTAATGCTCAAGTAGAACTTCAACCCAAAAATCTTCTGCTTGGTTTTTGACACCACAGACTTTCACCAACATTTCATAAATGTTGACAATCTGATAATGATCAGATAATCCAGTTTTTGTGACGTTGATTGAGGTATAAAACATTGGCCAGGACAACGGAAATAACTCCCCTGGTCTTCATCAAAATAGTGCTATGGTATTTTTTACATCCACCTGATCAGGTTTATATCTCATCCAAAAGTCAGTGTCTCTAAACTGTAGGGCTCCCTCATGGTTCCGAGGTGAAAGTGCTACCAACTGAACTACAGTGGATGCTGAATTATGGATTTATGAGAAGGGTTAATAAATTACTGATTATGCCATATGCATCATTTAATAGATAGCATAAAAGCTAAATACAGTATGGGACAGTGCATCAGGTCCACAAGACCCAACTCCTGCTCCCTCACTCCTAGCCACTGAATTGTTTGCTGTGTAGTTAATGATTTCCTCTTCCCAAATACTGTTCCAAAACCCTATAAATCTGCCACCATCACCCTTCTTAAAAAAAAAACAAAAAAAACACCTAACCCTTGACCACTTTGTCTTTGCAAACTATGAACACATCTTCAGATCTCTTTCCTTTCTTCAGTACAGTTATTTAGGTTACAGTCATCTCTTCAATCCAGACCCGTTTTTCCTGCAACTCCTTCCCATACAAATACATCTGACATCCTCCAAGAATCTTAGGCCCTCTCTTATTCCTCATTTATCTGCTACTCCTTGGCTACACTATCAAAAAAAAAAGTCAATTTACACATGCATTCTATCAAGACCCAGCTTCCTCTCACCATCACCTCACTTGACACTTCCATTGTTACCAAGCTTCCTTACACCCAGAAATGGATGAGCAAAAGTTTTTCCACCCCTCCCCACCAATTAATTACTCAGAAGACTTGTTTTCATTTATGGCTGTCCCCTTCCTATTTTTCATACTATATTTGGTAACAATGTAGAGAAATGTCCTGTTGACCTGCATCAGCCTAGTCTGGCAACGCCTTTTCTTGTATTTATTTTTGAATCCCTCCATGGCACCTTTTCCTTTCTCTGGAATGTACTCCAGCCCTTCAACTTTTCAAAATTTCTGCATCCCTCTAGTTCTTGTCTCTTGCATTTCATCAACTTTGAACACACCACAGTTAGCAGTGTGCCTTCAGCTGCTTCAGCCAACCTCCGGAATTCCCTTCCTAAACTTCTTGACCTCTCTAACTCTCTATTCTCTATGAAACTCCCTAAAACCTACCTCTCATCAAGTTACTGGTCACTTGTTCCAAGATCCTTATGTAAATCAGTATCAAATTTTGTTTGTTAATGCTCCTTCTGATATACCAACGTGTATAAATGCAAGCTGTTGCTGAGCATATTTAAATTTTTTTTTTCAGTTATGGAGTCTATGATTAAAATCAAAATTCTAATTATAAAAAGGTGAAATTCCAATACAAAGAAATGATACTGAAAGAATAATCAATTTTCTTCTAAATCCCTGCACCAAATGTTACATTAATATTGTTCATTAACAGTCTCATTCCTACTTCTATTTAAAGCTGCTGCAGTAAGAAAGAGACTGAAACAAACCAAAAATAATGAAACAGCAACTAAATTTCCTGAGAATTAGAACCACAAGGCATTAACCCAATATGCAGCATATAAAGATATCCAGTTTAATGTCTTAGCTGCAACTTGCACATAAAATTCTGCAGATTCACATTTCTTGCATGCTGGTATTTTGCAATGGCGAGTCCACGATCCCCAAGATTATAAATCATTTGAATCTTCTCATTTTGGTGAATATGTTGGTTGCCAATTACTCCCTAAAATTTGTGGTCAGTTTCCAGCTTACGAATGGCAAAACTGAGAAATATTTTGCAAGCAGTGTAACTACGGCAAATGAACCACAAACAAGGAGAATACCAACATTCACAGCTGCAAAAAATGAAAAGATCAAAAAGGTCCATACTCTATCACACACTGTTGAAAATTATAAAACTACAGTGCTTTTGCAGTTTTCAAACTAAATTTATACCAGGAGTTATGACACCAATAAAATCTTCACAAAAACAAAAGTGAAGAGAAATAAAAATCATGGAGGCAAGAAATATGACATTTAAAAAAAAACTAAAATGAAAGCTATTGTGAGAATTTACTACATCCGAATGGATGTATGAGCCAAAAAAAATAGAAAGGATAAGATGAATCAGGGGTTAGCTAAGTTGGTCTTCAAGACGGCAGAAATAGGAACAACATGCTGAATGGTATCCTTCAAGGCTGCAACTATTCTATAGGCTTAATCACATTCTTCATCTCTAATTATCTTGTCACAGTTCTAGATAAGTAAAGCACTGCAACAAATGACAGGAATGGACTCATTCTTCAATGGCATTAACATTCAAAATGTGATTCTCACTTATGACAGGATTTTGTTCCTAACATCAACCAGCATTCAAGCAAATATAGCACCAACACCTAATTGAGGTCACAGAATCAAAGGAACTTACCAGAGTTTGGTAACATGACCATCACACACAGGCAAACTGAACTTTTAATTACAATATATTTTTAATAAGGTTACACAGCGCAAAAGAATGCCTGAAAATGGATATTCTGACCAATGTAATTCACCGATTGTCTCAAAGGTTTTTGTGGATTATCCTCAAAGGAGAACATGGAATGTCACACCTGATGGGTGTCAAAGAAGTTGAAGACAGAAGAACTTCAAAAAGGGGAGTTATGTACTGCAAACTGAACTGGAGTAATTCCATACTACGAAGATGATGAGAGAGACTAGAGCAGTATGGGCAACAGAAATGTTTGTTTTCCCGTTTCAACAATCATGCTGAAGCCAGTTGCCATGTGTGGCACCTTGGAAAGGCAGCATATGTGCATGGCTTAGTAGGAATGTTGGTCACAGCTAAGAAAACCCCAGGTGACCTCCTGAGCAGTAGCAGAGGAAATCCGTTTCTCTTTGCTGGAAATCAAAAAACAAGCAAAATCATAGTCAAAAAGAAAACAGGACAAAGGCCTTTTAGCTGACTTTCAAAGCCAGGCATCTCAGTCAACCACAGACCTCCCAACGTCCATACCACTAGTATGGCCCAATGTAACAGCGCAATGATGCAACGTCTACTCTTCAAATAACTCCAGAGACTGGTCTCTATCTTTAACTTTCACGTTTTTGGACAGTTTTCAATTCTGATCTGCGCATTATAAACCTTGCAATATTATTTCTTCTCATGTTTAATAACGAATAAATTCACTTCTTTTAATTCAAGAAAGCCTGGTAAAATTGGCTCCTATTAAAATATAAATTCATTTTCTTTGGTAGAAAGGATTCTTTCAATTGGGATGTCATTTTTAACTTTGTAGCCACCAACTGAGTGGTGTGGTAAACAAAGAAGAGGACCCCATTGATCCCACCTCTTCTAGGGATTTGATAAATTTAGAATACTTCTCCAGAAAAATAAATTGGGGAACCTTGTCAAGAGACTGGTCATAACACTGGAGCAACACTTGACAAGCAGGAAGATGATTGGGATTGCAATAGTCAATTTTATGACAATCCCAAGATATTGTTGGATGAGTTATTCATGGCAATATCCTTAGCCAAATCATAGTCACCTGATTCAAAAATGAATCTTCCTCCATTAGGTAGGGATTGGGGCTGCTTGTTGATGATTTTAAAGTTCAATCATGAAGTCCTTGCCAAACAGCAGTAAGACCTAGACAATAAATCGGAGATTGAGCCACCAGGAGGCAGGTAATATTTGAGCTTTAAAAAAGTACCAGGTAGCAACTTGCTCCAACATGAGGAAACACAAGTAACCTTTCCAACCTCCAACAGCATTACCATAGCCATATAACCCACCATCAATATCCTGAAATCAATCTGAACAGAATTGGAGAACTAATGTTAACATGCTCGCAATAATAGAGCAGCTGAATGTTCGACAAAACAGTCTCGATTCCTGGCCTTTGAAAGCCTCTCTACCACTTACAACTCAAATCAGGAATGGGATGGAACACCCACACATTGCTTGCATACGTGAAGTTGTAACAAAATACAGAAAACTCAGACTACCTAGAACATAGTTGTTCACTGGATCAGTATCCGTCCCATTGAATTTGATTTGCATCCTCAAAATCATAAAACAGACAGCACAGGAGGCCAACTGGCTCATCACATTTGTGCCATTTGGGAATTATCCAATCAGTCGCATGCTCCTGTTCTTCCTCCACAGCCCTGTACGTTTTCTCCCATCAGATATCTATCAAATTCCACTCCAGATGCTATTATGTAATGGGCTATTGAGTTATGCATTCCAAACTACAATAATTTATTCCATAATCTTTTCCCCTCATTATTTCTGGTTCTGGTTAAGAAGGTTGCACACCATTAACTTCTCAGGACAATTAAGAGTGGGCAAGATGTGTAAGCTTGTCAGCATTGGTCAGCTACCTTTCAGAATAGGTAAAAAAGGAGAATGTTGTGTGGAATATGGTGGTTTCCAAGTTGCTTGAACCATGGCCATGAAGGTATGTGAAATGTTGAACAACATTAGTTGTAAAATGATTATAACCACACTGAAGTTGGGCATTGGCAGGGGGGGTGCAGGAGGAGTGGCAGACCATACAAAACCTTGTATGAAATTAAAATGAATTTACAAGAGTCCAATCAACATATGTCATGCTTTTAATGTAACGAAGTGACTAGAGACACTTCACAGCAGCATTACAAAACAAAAATGACACCAAGCAACATATTAGAACAGATAACCATAAGCTTATCCAAAAAGATTAAATTTAAAGAGTCTCATAGAAGGAAAACAAAATAGAGAGGTGCAGGGAGCTTATTCCACATGGTAAGTAAAATTGGAGATAGCGACGGAAGTCAGAATTGGAGGAACACAGATGCCTTGGAGGGTTGAGGCTGGAGTACATGACACAGAGAGAAGAGCAGGGTGATGGAAGGATTTTAAAAAGAGGGAGGGGACTTGTAAAATCAAGATGTTATTTGACTAGAAGCCATTAAAATCAGTGAGCACAAGGGTAATTGGGAAACAGGATTTGGTGCAAATTAAGACATGAGCAGAGTTTGGATGACCTCAAATTTAGAGGGCATAATTTGAAAAGCTAGTCCAGATGCATTGGAATGGAGTCATATTGAGATAAAAGCAAGGAGAAACACTGCAGATGAGTGGAGAGGGATAAAGTTGAGTGAAGTTCTGGAGATGGAAATAGGCGGTCTTAATGACGGTAGGAATGAGAGATCAGAGCACATCAGGGTTGAATGCAATATCAAGATTGCAAACAGTTCAGCTAGATCTCAGACTAGTGCCAGGGAGAGGGATGGAATAAGTCACTAGAGAACAGAAGTTTGCAGCATAGTGTAAAATTAGAGGCGGCCAAAGATAGATAACTGAGAGGGCACCAGTGGTAATGGAGCAGTATCAGGAAGGGAAGACATTGCAAGCGATTCTTTGGCTATGATTAGATAGGAATAGGACCTGATAGAACAATCCTATCCCAGTGGAGCGGTATTGGAGGAGGATGGTTTGCCAATCATTTTAAAAGCTAATGGGTAAAGCAAGATCAGGAGGTAAAGTTTACCGTTGTTAGTACCACATATGACCTTGATAAAAGCTGCTTCAGTACTGTGCTGGGGCAAAAAAAAAAAACAAAAAAACAAGCCAATTGGAGGGGTTCAAACAGAGTACTAAAGATGGGAAGGTTGAGATGAAAACACATTCAAGGACTTCATAAAGGAAGGGGAAGTTTGGAGTTGGGACAGTGGTTTACAAAGGCATTGAGATCAAGATTTTATTTTGATGACAGAACAATGACAGCAGATTTAAGAGGAGAGCAGGGCAAAACTTAGAGTTTTTTAAAAAAAATAATACATTTATTCTTTTGCCCAACATAACAACCAGGAGGGCCAGTTGGGTGACTGAACATTACCACTAATCTGTCAATCTCTTGTCTTCCTCCTTCTAAGCACACATTTGTTGAACTTTAACAACAGCTTTGAAAACAACAAGGTCTGATGTTGGGCAGGCAGTACAGACCAAAAAAAGGTCTCAGTCCCACTTTTTATCCCTCTACTGGGAGACCAGTAGTAGAATTCTACTTCGTGCCCCCAGGAAAGTGGAAAGTAGAAAGTAGAAAGTAGAAAACTGCCACAGATCTCCCACCAGACTCTGCTGAAAAGCACACATACATTCATGTTGAGATCAGCTTTAAAACATACTGTGGAAGAACACACTTTGCTATCATCCTTCCCAACCTATTTTAATTTCCACATTAAAATATTTTCAAACTAACTGTGAACATGCTTTTCTTGCTTGATAGTGAAGAACCAATTCTAAAATTACTTGAATATAAGTTTTCTGTTAAGAGAATCCAATTCACACACATCTTATTAATTAGTTGCTGAATATCAAAATGTTTTACACACTTACAAATTGTTGCCTTAATAATTGCTCCTCATCCAGTTGCTTGTATTTACAAGCTTTTTATAGAGTCTTGTATATCTTAACTCTTAAACCTTAACCCTCAGGGGTAGGCAATGGTCTAGTGTTATTGTCACTAGACTATTAATCTAGAGAGCTATAATGGCAGGTGGTGTCATTTAAATTCAATAATAACCTGGAAATACAAGTCTAAATGCCATTGCCAATTGTCAGAAAAAAAACCTCCAAGTGGTTCACTAATTCCTTTAGATAAGGAAATCTGCCATCCTTACTAGGTCTGGCAGACATGTGACTCCAGACAAGTAGCAATGTGATTGACTCATAACTGCCCTCTGCCCAATAAATGCTGGTCCAGCCCTCATTCCAAGAATAAATATTTTCAAAAAGCTCCTCACTTAAACGATATACTTTGCAAGAAATAACACTTCAATGCAGATCCTAAACGAGTCATTCCTCAAAGTGCAAACTGATGCCAGCGAAAGAAAGTGATTCCAAATATCTTGACATTTTCCAATGTAACAAGTACGGCATTAATAAAGCACATGGTCACATTTCTACCAGCATCTCAAGACGGAGTAAAATATTTCAACATTCAAGCGCTATGAACTGCAAAAAGGAGCAAAATACTATACACAAAATATAAATCTTTCCTACCGTCCCGGGAAAAGTGTGTCAAAATCACATGCTTCAAAGCAGATTCAGATCTCGCTGTACATCACTGTTCACCCCAACATCAAAACAAAACACTTAAATCCAGAAAAGCTACTTACCGATAATGTTAGGCACAAAAAGCAAAATTTTCAAACCCATCTTGTAGGTCTACGCACTACGAAAGGAAACATTAATATTTATAGGTTCGGATGATGATCTCCCAGCGGCTTTAATCACCTAATCATTTATTCATTAAACTGCAGTTCACTTGCCACTACCATCAATCTTCACTATTTCCTTCTCAAGCGAAAATGATTTGCGTGTCATTGCCTGTCCCAACCTCTAGGCAACTCACTTTACCACAAGATTATAAAGACAAATAAACAGGCAGTACGTCACCAGGGCAGTGATTAAAGGCGCCTCCCTCAATTAAAACACCCAAATGAATTTGTACCGGTTTACTCCATCCTGAGTCCAGACAAACAGCAATGTGGTTGACTTATAACTGCAGCGGCGATTTTATAATTTAATTCCTCCGGAGGAGGTGGAGCTGGAATCTCATATGTTCTTCTCGCTGATGCTGCCCAGGACCGTCACTTCCTTTGGCTGCAAGATTCTCTGGCACCTGGGAATGCGTTTTATTAATATTTTATGTCCAGAAAGTAGCTTGCCGCTTCAACACAATATTTCCAATGGTTTTATTTGTGGATTTTGATTCACAGTTCGCATGTTCTCTTGTTAGAGATTTGAATTGGGGAAAATAACATACTCGCAAGAACAGATAATTGAATAAATTGCACCACTCCATAGTTCGTCCCATGCATTTCTTACTTGACTTCGACTCCCTCCAGTGTACTCTCTCCGGCCCAACAAGTCCACGGCAACTCTCAGAGGCTCCCATCCAGACCCACCTAATCTACAGAGATTGTAGGAACTGCAGATGCTGGAAAATCTGAGATAACAAGGTGTAGAGCTGGATGAATTCAGCAGGCCAAGCAGCATCATAGGAGCAGGAAAGCTGACGTTTCGGTGAAGGGTCTAGGCCGGAAACGTCAGCTTTCCTGCTCCTCTGATGCTGCTTGGCCTGCTGTATTCATCCAGCTCTACACCTTGTTATCCCACCTAATCTACACATCCCTGAACACTACGGGCAATTTAGCATAGCCAATCTACCTAGCCTGCACATCTTTAGACTGGGGGAGGAAACCCACGCGGACAATATATAAACTCCACACAAACAGTCGCCCGAGAGTGGAATCGAACCCAGGTTCCTGATGCTGTAAGACGGTAGTACTGACCACTGACCACTGAGCCACCCGGGGAAGGAAGACTTTGGGAAAGGTTGTACTTAGTGCTGTTATTTCTAATGTAGATATTCTAAACCAGACCAAGACATCGTGTTTGACACTATTTTCCCCAGACATATTTATTGTTGTGGGCTTGGTTCTGAGTGTGGGAAACTGCAGTCGCAGAAAGTCGACTTGCATAACGTTTCTATTTTCAGCACAGGAGCAATAAATTATTCGTTATATTTATTTAAAAGCTTTGTGTGTTGGGGGGTGGGGGTGGTTAAGCTTTTGCCATTTCTTAGTCTCTTGGACTCCAAAGAGTCTTGTGTATCTTAAGCTGTAAATGCTAACAATTGTAGGAATTAATTTGAGATTTATACATCACTAAAGCAACAGTGCCAAGAACAATTAATGGTTCGCATTTTAAATATGTACAGTAACAAAAATCAGTTTTTTTCATGGATCCACTTAAGTAAATTCCATTTAATTCTAAACTAACAAAACCCCTGCATAACATCAATAAATAATATAGCTGTATTTATTTTTTCAAGTCGTTCTGACTACTACATTTCAGCTCACTAAAATGTTGCTCTTCCACTTAAAAGTTTGGAAATACCTAATCCAGTTTCTACACAATATTTTGTTTTCAGAGGCCAAGCTGTGTTTGAGATTCACTTATTCCTCATGCCTGCAGTTTTTCTTCCTCAGACACAATTCATTTGTTTGCTGCAGTCATGTCCAACTATGCATTGTCACCTTTTGCTTTGCATGCTTGTGTTTAAAATAATTGCTTTTGATCTTACCAGTTCTAACATAGTGATTACCTTCTTAATGCAAATTCTATTTTAAGAAATATCTTGATTTGGTACATTAGTGTCTGTGGCTTCTGGCCTGTGAACAGTCCCATTAAGATAAAATTAGCATATTAATAATTTCATAATGTATTTTTGGAAATAAATACCAGCTAAATATAATATTACATAGTTATATGAAATCACAAAATGCTTTTGGATGAGTCCATTTTAATGAATGTAATCAAAAGTACACTTCAACCAAGTAACCACCACTCTCCCACCTCATTTCCCACATTATCCAATCATTTCTTTAATTATTTCAGTGTTTTAGCCTCAACTAGTCATGATAGAAGTCTACACTGATGATCAATACCTGGAATAAAGAACTTTCTACTACTATTCAATCAGCCATGATCAAATGGCAGAGAAGACTCGATGGACTGAATGATCTAATTCTGCTGCTATATCTTATGATATACTTGTCCTATATTTTTTTTTATTAGTTTGAAGATGTGTCCCCAATTATTTCTTTTAGTATTTTTAGTTTGAATATTCTAGCTTCAAAATTACAAACATTTAACATTGTTTACAAAATCTATAATATCACCTTTGTGATATCAAACATGACTGAAAAAGCAAAACAAAAAACCTGACTCAAGGTATGAACTGATTAGAGCTCTTTAAATGTAATCATTCCTGGTTTTTAATTGCTTATATTTAGCATTAAGCTTATTGTGAAACTCAAAAAGAGCACATCTGTACTCAAGTATGAAAATCAACCAAATATATTTTCTAGGAGATAGCAAGAACTGCAGATACTGGAGTCAGAGACAACAGTGTGGAGCTGGAGGAACACAGCAGATCAGGCAGCATCAGAGGAGCCGGAAAGTTGATGTTTCGGGTCGCGATCCTTCTTCAGAACTGAAGAAGGGTTCTGACCCGAAACGTCAAATATATTTTCTATCTTTCTGAAAATAAATAACTTTTGCAGAAGGTCCTTCCCTTTTCAGGATGAATTCAGGACAGGCAACAAATGTTGGCCTTGCCAGTGATACCTACATCCCATGAGAAAAAACACAATAGGGAAGTTGTTAGGAAAATTATACTTCACTGAGTGCACTCATTATGCTTCATACCGCACTGTAGCCATGTTACTATATATAATGTCTTCCATCAAAACTCTTAGTTATTGTTAAACTTTGCATGTGACTGCTAGACACCAGTAATGGGCGTCCCATTTTCCTTGTGGGGACAAGTTGGTCTGGCTTTAACTCTATGGTTTATCTAAGTAGTTTCATGGCTAGCCCTACAGGTGATGCAAGCATAAGTGGTTTTAATTTAAAAACAGAGCACCAATGTTCTAATTGGGCATGAGCCATCTGGCTAATGGGCATTTTACGGTTGCCTTGTGTGCTGACCTCTGCCAGTTTGCAGGCCAGCATTCCTAAAACATTATTGGCAAGTGTACCTTGGGTTAGGTAGCATTCAATCATTGGTTCAGCAAGAGCTGATAAATTACATATCAGTATGCTCTGGAGTGTAGGAAACCAGGACACTGCTAGGTTTTCTAATGGGGCTGAAGAGCTACTGCAATGAAGCATAACACAGAGGTGAGGTTCCAGTTTTGATAAAAATAGTACATGGAAAGGAGTCTAAGCAGAGTGGTAAGTGGTCGCCGCATCCATCATTGCAGTGGTGGAACTGGCAGTCTAATTAAACTGTGCAAGAAGTTTAATTATTCGGTCAGGCTAGATCAGAGAGATTAGAACAGAGAGAGAATGACAACAACTGGTATCCCATGAACATGCAAACTTTTACTAAATGTGTGGAAAGATATCTTGATAACTTGTGGATGAAGTTTACCAATGGTGTTATGAATGCAGAAGGCAGGAAGCAGGTGTTAGTTTGAGGAGGTTTGGTTTACCTTTCTTCTCATCAAACTGCTACTTCATTAAATTTCTGAAAAACTTATCATGAGCCTGAATATTGTCACTCAATACAATTTACACCATCCTTGGCTAAAAGTCTAGGAATCTTCTTGTCAAGGGCTCTTTTTATAGATGTAAAAGTGAAAAAAGGTGCCTTCCAAAAATCAACATTGATGCCAACATTGAGAGCCCAAGCAAAATGATCCTCAATCTGGAAGTTAGATGGAGAAGTCCATTACTTACATTTGTACTACTGTACTGGATAGTTTTGTGACACTACAACTCACTTTGTAGAACAATGACAAGTCCAGCAATATTTGCAGTGTTACCCTATTAAAACAGGAGGCTAATGGGTGTGTGGTCTCTCTTTCATGGATGCTCAGAGGCCTAGGGTGTTAGGGTAGATGTTCAAACTTTGGTTGGCTTGGGAATTACTTAAAACCTTGAAGCAGCATTTTGCAGATCACTTTGTGGCATTAAGCCTGTTGATATGCCAACTGTGGCCACAGTAAGGAAGTCCTCAATATCAGGTTCTTGGCAGCAATGGCAGAAAGCATACATAATTTGACCCCTATCAGAAAATGTAAACACATTTCTCTCAAATTTTCCTCCTGAACTGTAACATAAACTCTTTAAAGCTTTTATTTTAAACTTGAGTTGAAACCCAGTTTCTATTTATGTCAAATGAGTACTGGGCCTCACCAGTGCCTCCTAATTGTTCATCAAAAATCAAAGCAAACTGCTGCAGTATGGAATCAATGATTTTGCAGCACCTGGAGGGACTAACATTAAGTCAGTGCAAATAAACACTCTTTGAATTGTGCTCCAATAAATAGAGTTCCCTTCAGATTTGAAGACTCCTGGAACATGTACAACAGATTTAATTGGACTGTGCAGGAAAAACAACATGGGGCTCTTATGTCACCAGGAGGCCCAGATTTAAGATCCAACATTCTAGAGGTGTGTCATAACAGAGATAAACAGGTTGATTAAAAATATCTACTTAAATATGTACATTTTAAAGAGTACTGAGGTGCATATATAAGAAGCGCCAGAGATATTTAACGTGCTGATGTTCCTGGGCCGTTATCAAGTTCTAGCATAGAATATGGGATGTTTCATAGCCATGATTTCCAATTTCATAGTCTTGAAAATTGCCTCAAATTGTATTCAAATTAAACATTATCAATGTTCTGTCAATCCACATCCTCCTAGATTGTTCTGATCAATTGGTCCTGAACCTTCTATTTCCCACCCAAGCAAGGAAAAGAAAAGATATACCAAGGTGATGCTAGCCAGACACTAGCCACATGTAAAAAACTAAGAGTTTATTTTTGAAGATTGAGCAAAGCCAAGTATGCCAATAATTTGAATTAGAAAAAGCATAATACCAACGATGGTACGCTAATTAATAAATT